TAGAATTTATAGATTCTATTATATGAATTCACTTTACTTGGCTGAGATATCCATCTTATGTGTTCTATCATAAATCAGTGATTCACTAAAGATTGTTTCTTGAGAGATAGTGCATGTCATGAATCAGTTTTTGATTGGTTCACTATTATTACTAATGCCAAACTTTCAATAACAGAATCTATGCAATACTTAGCTAACACACACTCATAGTCTACTGAGAGAGAATTAGACTTAACATGTCAATTGGATGTAAATATGTTCTCATACAGAGATACTTTGTGCATATTTGTATGTTATATACATTATGCTTTATCATTATAATGTAATATATGTTATAATAGTATATATGATATAGCAAACTCTCAAAATACTGGAACAATACCAATAAACTCAAAATACTGGCTGAATCAAGTATATATTTTTTTTTAATTATTTGCTATTTTTTAAAAATAAAAAAAGAAGTTTTTTTTTATTTTATAGTTATATATATTTCTATCCATTATCAATAACACATTTTTCCCTGTATTTTCTTTATTTTAAAAAAATAAAAATAATAAATAAAAAAAAATTAAAAAAATTATTTTAATATTACCATGCATGTACGTATGTGTGACTATGCATGTATGCATATATGTACGTACAGTGGCAATCAGAAATAATGCAATGACATCAAAATTTATTAATTAAATATAGTACGTACTCATAATTTGGCATTTCTGCTCCTTAAAAAGATCTCGAAATAGAACAATACGTATTTATTCTAAAGTGTAAAAGCTTTAGTTTCCATAAATAGAGAGTGGATATTTTTATTCTTCTTCATTTTATGCATCTTGTGGGCGTATGTCGCATCATTTTTCATATATCAATCGTTTGATAAACACATGTGAACGATGACTTCCACTCCACCACATATAAATCTTTGTTTTGGACATAAATCACTACCATCACTAAGAAACTCAAAGATGGTTCATGATTATAGTAAATGTATTTATTGTGAACTGGATTACTAACTTTTTAATTAAACCAAGTAGTAGCAGTATCTTTCAAATATTATGTACAATTTGAATTTTTCAAGTATTAGTAACTTTATTGACAATAGCAATAACTTCAAAATCTCTAAATCATTTAACTAGATTTTAATTATTACCTTTAAATTTGCAAATTAGAATATAATTCTTTTTAGCTCTTAATTCAATATTAAGAGCATTAGTAAGAGTATTTAGATTATTGAGAATGTCATTTAAATCAATCATTTCTTTATTATTTGATTCTTCAATTATTTCTTTTTGTTTAAAATTTAGTTCTTCTTCTGATAATTATTCTTGATTAAAGATATCAGATTTTTCTTTATATAATTAATTGTTCTTGAAAGTTAATATTTTGTTATTTTTTTTTACTAATTCTTCTTCTATTTCTTTAATAATTATTAGTTAATCTTTTATTATTTTAATATTATTAGCTTTTTCAGAATAGTAACTGTTAGATATATTGAAATCTTTTTTAAATTCTAAATTATGAAAGTCTTCAAATATTGTTCTAACTAGAAATAAGTAATCAAGAGTGTGTTTGTTTTGATAAATTAGAGTATTTAATAGTTAAATTACTTATCTTCATAATTCTTTAGTTCTAATAGTAACAAAATTTGCTTCAAATATCTTCAAATAATTATTCAATAATAAATGATCTAGATAAAAAAGATTTAGTTATTGTATTAGAGAGTGAAAGCAGATATGGCAAAAATATTTTTGAGAAACTCAAAGTATTGTTTCTTGATGTTTTGCTTTTTGATGAGTGTTAAAATATAAATTAATAAGTTTTTTAATAAAGTATATTATTTATAAAGAGAATTTTAAATTAAGAGAGGATCTTTGAAATAATTTTATAAAGAAGTTATCAAAATATTACAAATTTATTTACTAATCATTAAATTAGCTTACAAATTTGAATCTGAATTGAAAAAGAGTAATAAACTAATAAAAATATTAAAAGAAAAAAAGAGTTATTTAAGATCTATATCAATTTTTACAGAAATTATATTTACTTAAAAAAATAATAATATAAAGAGTTATGGAAAAGTAAAAAGAAAAAGAAAAGAGTAAGTATAAAAGAATAAACTAATAAATAATAAAAGAAATTTGAAAAACTAATTCTTTGCACTTGTATAAAGCTTTCCAGAGCTAAAATAATATAATTAAAATAATAATAACAAAAATTTTTTCACTTTGTTCTTTTCATAAATAAGAAATACCAAAATAACAAACTAACAAAAATTGAAATACTTAATATTCAGAATTAATAATTTCAATACAGCAATTTGTTTAATATAATATAATATAAAGCTCAATAATTCAATAATAACAATTTGTTTAATACAATATAATCTAAAGCTCAAAGTTATAATAGTAATTTGCTCAGTATAATATAATATAAAGCCATTAATAATTTGTTAAATATAATATAATATAAAATTACTTATATACAAGATTTGAAATATAAAAAAACATGAAAAATAAAAGATATTTAAAAAAAGATTTTTGTTAAAAGAGATTTTTATTTTCAGTTACAACATATTAAATTAAGATTCAGATGATATTTATATTTATATATTTTTTAAAAATATAATTTCAAATAATAATAATTATCAAAAAGATAAACTGATTATTTGAGAATTATACAAAAGAAAAATAAAAATAAAATAAAAAATAAAAAGTAAAATAAATAATAAAATAAATGATAAAAGTAAAATAAATGATAAAATAAATAGTAAAATAAAATAAATGGTAAAATAATTTAAGAGTTTTTATTATTATATGAATATTTTTAAATAGTAAAATAAATAATAAAATAAAATAAATGATAAAATAATTTAAGAGTTTTTATTATTATATGAATATTTTTAAATAATATATGTTTTTCAGTTATTTTAAAATTAATAATTTTTATATTATTACTATAATAATATTAAATAATATTATTAAATTATATTATTATATTAAATATCAATATTAAATTAATTAATTGGATTATAAAATCAAAATATTTAACAAGATTAATATATAATGAAAATATTCAAAACAAAACAAAATAAAAACAAATTTTTTAAAAATGATATATACTAACGAAAAAAATATTTTTGCAAAAATTTGCATTAAAATAATCTTATCTTTATTTTATTCTAAATTCTAATTCAAATTAATAAATTTTTTTATTTTTTTGTGATATTAAATATTACTAGTAAAATTTAAAATTTTTGTTTTAATACTATACTATATTATATAATTTATAAATAAATATATAAATATATATAATCTAATTATTTTCTCAAAATATTTGTTATTTCTCTAATAAAATTAATAATAAGTATTTTTATAATATTTATTATTATTATATTTATATATAATAGTAATCAAAAATAATATAATAGTATTAAAATTTATAATAAAATATAAATTTTTCTTTTTATATGAAAGTTTTCAATTTTACTAATAAATATTTTTTATTTTATATTAAAATAAAGTTAATATTATATATTTTAACATATTTTTTAGATTTAATCTGATAAAGTTATTCTAATTATATATAAAATTAATTATTTTTTTATAATAAAAATATTGGATTAAATCTAAAAAATCTGTAATAATATATGTTAAATATCTTTATTTTTATGTAAAAATAAATATATTTATTAGTAAAATTAAAAATTTTATATAAAGAAAAAATCTGTATTTTTATATTTTTATTAATCAATTTTTTATTTTTACTTACTAATAAATTTATTAATTATTTATATAATTTAAAAGAATTTGATTCACTATAAAAATATTTCAAGAAATTTTTTAAAACTATAACAAAAACAAGATACAAAATAATAATGCTTGTTATTAAACTTATTTTTTTCTGTTTGAAAAACTCACTCAATTATTATTATAGTAAATGATAATAAACTTTTATAGCAATTGATTTCGAATATTAAAATAATATTTTTCTTCCAATATTGATTAAAGCTTTTTGATAATTCTAACTTTAATAATTTTATAATATCTTTTTGCACCAGCTTGTCCAAATTTAATATAATTATGTATTTGCTTGTGCAAATTGAAATAAGTAATGAGTATACTTGCCATTCATATTAATATGGATATGGAATAAAAAAATTTTGCTTTTTCTAAAAAACTAAATTTAAAACTATATATTAAAACTTTATAGATATACTCTTTATCTCTTAAATCATCTAATGTACAAATTGAATGCTAAAATATTTTGTCTTACATTTTTGCTTGCATTTATAATTTTCAATTTTCTTATTTTAAAGATCAAAATTCTACAACTAATTGTTTTTATAGGTTTTTATATGTAATAGATTGTTTAAATGATTATTTTTGTTTTAGTTATTGTTAGTATAAGCATTTTTATTATAATAGAACGGTTTAAGAGATAATTATATTTAATTTAAATTAAAATTTTTTGTGGAATATGAACCTGAAAAATTTTTTGGATATGGGCGGCAAGTATTGGATAAATGACCAGGTGAGTCATATTTTAATTCATTGTTTTTTTTGTAGCATTTTAGTTTTCTTTTCAGCATATTTAGCTTGATAGCTTGCATTACATTTTTAAAGTGCTACACGTAAAAAATAATATGAATAGTAAATTATTCTGCAAGCATGTGTTACGAATATATTACGAGGTAAATTAAATCATGTTGAACACCTCTTGATTAGAATCATGCTTTTACCACATCTCAGGAGGGGTGGGTAAACAAATATCAGCTAATATCTGTCACTTCCCTTACATGTATTTGAGGTCATGTATAATAATAACCCTACTCTCAATCCAAAGAAAAAGAATAATAATAATTATTAATCTACATACAATGTAAGAGAAATATGTGCGAGTGAAGTTATCTTTTCAATTAATCGGATCAAATGTGGGAGGCAGTATTTATAAAGGGGTTCTCTTTAAATAAACACATTACATCATTGATATAAATAAACTTGTTATTAATATGAATCTGAACCATGAACGTCTTCCCGATAAGCCAAACCAATCCTATTTTTATCTAAATCAAAAATAACGTAGAAGAGCTGAAAAAAGAAAGACATAATTAATAATTAATTATAAATGGATGATATCGTGTGATCGAATAATTGATACCTTGAAGAAAATAGCACCAATTATATAATCCGAATCACTTTGTTGAGCACCACCAAGGCAGAGACCAGTCGGGTCTATGTCATCTGGTAGGCCAGTCGCGTTTACTGGTTCTTGTATGAAATCTTGTATTGGAATAGTGAAATTATGATCCTTGAATAGCAATTTTACATCGTATTTATTATCGGTATGGTTACATGGTAATACCCAAGTTCCATCTACAAACAATTGGGATCCAGGTATCGAGTCATAAATAAGCTCGACTATTGAACAAGGTGCATATATGTAAGTTGCACCGGTATCGAAAATAAATGGACCGCCGACTTCCAAGTCTATATCATCAACGTATATATCATCTAAAATTGCTGTCCAAAAGTATTTATCGGTGTTGTTTACCCAGATAACATCTCCAAGGATTATGGATTTATTGTATCTGCCGAAGGTTAATTCACCTCCGCCACCTAGTTCTTGTTTAATGAATTTTACGGCGAATAACTTTTCCGTGATCTATTATTATTTTCAATAATTTTATTAACTTATAAGATAAAATCAATGCTTGACCTTGATATGAATGATAAAGAAAATACTTGCCAATTTTTGATCGAACATTGCATCAAGAACAGTATTAATACCTGCATCTGAAGGTTGTATAATTGTTTTGAAACCAAGACCCAAAATACCATCGAAGTCAATGTCGGAATTTTGAATTTCAGAAGTTGCCCCGAAAATTTGGCTTTTGATTTGATGTTCACCCAATGTGACAACATCCTTAACCAACTCATTCACAAGACTAATTAAATGCAAAAAACGATTTATTTTCATCAATTATGTTAACAAATAATTATTAATAATTACTCACGAAGTTCCACCAGCAAACATCATACTATAAGTACGACCGAACCGATACGAGTTTGCAAGATCATAAGACCTGGGTGATTTTGTGCGACATTCTGGACGACTACACTCCGTTGAAGTGACGAGCACGTTCGATGATCCAGTGTCAATTAATAGTTCAAATTGTTGTGCTGGTGATCCAAAAGAGACTTGTGCAAGCCACTATTTTTTTTTTTCAATAATTTTAATCAATGAAATCAAATGAGCATTCAATGAATTGATTAAAATTGATTAATCAATCATTTATTTACCTGAAGATTATTATCGACTGTTCTAAGACCATTTAACCCGCGTCTTACAACAGTCTTGCTTCGCGTCACTAACTGCACTTTTGGTGATGGAAATGCGATCGTGATTTCAAATATAACGGATAAAACCGCCAGTAATAGACATCCAAGTATTAATGATTTCATTATTATTATTGATCTTAAATATCTTTTTATTTATTATTTATGAATTATCCCTTCACTGTAGTTCTTTGGTTTTCGTCCACACTTCTTTTCGTTATTAGTCAATACTGTGAATTATGAAAAATCAGGTTATGAGAAATAAGTTATTTTTTGTTCAAATCGATGTGTATATATCATAGATAAATATAAAGAGAAAGAGTTTGGATAAAATGATAGATAAATTATATATTCATGTGCTTTTATATTTAATAATGCGCGACTTCAGTTAATATTTTCTAAAATTCTAAATACTCGTAAACTTTTACAGTCTGATACTTTCTTATACTTAAATTAGTTCATTTATCAATTAAGTTAAATATCATTCACTTTACATACTAAATATAATTACCAAAAAATAATCATCAAAAGAACTGGTTGGGTCTTGAGAGTGGATAGAGTTGGAAGAGCAACAATGTGTAAGAGCATCAAGCAAGCAAACGTATGATTTTTAAGGAAACATAAATAATCGTCGTTGTTATTGCTTGCTTGGTTTTTATATTTACACACATTAATGTTATAGAGTATGTGTTTACATATAAATTATTTGGAGGGAGAAATTTTTTTGGTGCTAGTTTCTTTCTGTTCTTTATGGGCAATGTAATAAAATTATATTGTTTCCTTGTTGATTTTTTGCGTAACATACTACACACAGCCATTTACTTTTCAGCACAGCCTTCAATGAAAAAGAGGGACAAACGTATTTATCACAAATCACTCAAAAATTCTATTTTTATCTGTCTAAAATAGTACGTAATACAGAGATGTATGAATCCAGTCACAGGATCAATGTGTAACGCAAAATATCTTAGGGAGTGACAAATATTGGGACGCGCTAAATCGTGGTGAACACGTGTAATCCATCCAATCAACAATCCGACACAAAAAATGAAATGTTAATATTACAAGAAAACCGATGCTTAGACCTGTTTGGATACTAATTAAAAATGTTAGGAAGGCAATTTTATATATAACCTTGTCTCTAACTCTAATCTTTACCCTTACCCTGACCTTATAAATCATTAAGGGACCCCAACTACCCCAGCTCACCCACGAGCGATTTTCCTTTCACGTGATTTTTCCTATCCCTGACGATCTCGAAACCAATGAGGATGCGCAAATTTTTGATCAATCTGGCAACACAAAAAATGAACAATGCAACAAATACGGAGACTCCTAACCTTTAATAGTGCGGTAATTGTTGTGGCCGGATCATAAAATCACGTGAAAGGAAAATCGATCGTGGATGGGTAAAAGGGATGGCCAAATCTCAAGTAATATAATCTCACGTGCATATGTTATATGAAGATTTGTCACGCCCCTTATGCAATAATTAAAGGGGATGTTGGATGGTTGGTGTCGGGTCGGATCACATCAGAAACTTTTTGTTGAATCTTTCAGCCAACATTAATCTTATCATCAGCTACTTTGGGGTAGATCCCATAGCTTTTTACTAAGAGTAGAGTTTATCCTCAGCGATATGCAAAAGATTAATTTATACATGTATTAATATACGTAACGATAAAATTCTAATCCGAATCTGAATCCCAAGAAATACAATGATATATTTACTTGATATTAAATTTCCTTTTTTTTTTCTAATAAACTAAGAAATGCTACGTATTTTAACGGACTCAAATTACATCAAGTAAGAAATAATAAAATAATAATCTACCAAAAAAAACCATCATTCTAGAGTGATAAAACTATTAGAGTAGAATTTGTAAAATATTGACTAATATCGCGATCAATAAATCAATCTAAGGACGTCCAATGTTACCATTTCTTGCGATGGAACTTTCACCATAAATATTGCTATTCTTGAAAAGGAATAATCGATTATTGAGAACTTTTGGAGCAGTAGAGAAGCCGCCACGGCTTCCTCCACTACCAACTACGATCGGACCATACGGAGGAGTCTCTTTGGTTGGAGAGGTGGTATTAGAAGAAGAAGAAGAAGAAGAAATAGTACCACCCACATCGTCGCAATTCAAACTAATCTTTCTAGTTGTGGCTTTGAATGGCAATACGGCTCCGTTATTAAAGAAATCCAATTTAATTAGTTTTGTCAAATCCTGAAGTACATTTCCTTCAGCGTCCAAAACTTTGAATTCATATTTCGCCGTAGTATCCTGGAACCCGGACGAAAATTCTCCTTGTAGGCTGGTTTGCCCACATGGATTTTGGAAGAAGTTTATCGTTCCATGAGGTTTTAGTGGATCTCTGTTGCCGGTGCCAAATGTTGCGGCAGCAAATACACACTTACATCTTGATACTTGATCGTCAGCTCCGTTTGCGTTATTACGTTTTAATAAACGAGGGGTTATCTCGAATACTGTTTCGCGGTCTAGTAATGCTGAGATAGGTGTGAAGAATAAAGCGATAATAGAGACTAGCAATAGTCCAAACCATACTTTAGTTGTTGAAAGATTATTCATTTTGAAGCTCGTATTATTATTTATTCATAAAGTAATTTATTTTCGTAAATATCCGATAATATGATATCAATATTATGTTGTGGGTCGTCTTCTTTCAATCAATAATTTTCGTGAAAAAGTAACAATATTAATAAAGAAGAGCAACAACAAAAAGAGCATTCAATTTTATAATCCCCTAATTAACGACGTACCACAAAGAATATCTCTGTGTTGTACCCTGGAAACAAAGGAACAAGAATTCTCTATAAAATGAGGGTGCGAATCGATATTTAATGTGAAAATTTGGCAGATCTTTTAGCCAAAATTTCATAATGTTGGCCAAAAAATTCATGATATATATCAATATATACCGTTATACTATAACCTATTATAAAAAAATCACCATGATCCTGTAATCACCACATTTAATAATTAGAAATTTACGGAGTGCATAGCCTCCTCACTTATGGTAGAAATAAGCCTCTTTCGATGTGTACACCCTTTTAACTTAGGGGTGTTTTTATTATTAGTTAAGTGTGATTATAAAGTATTCGTTACACGATGCTAAAAAAAGATTGTGTGAAACTTACATAAGTATCCGACCAAATTTTCTGGGCATTAAATGTAACACCTGTATATTTTATGTTCATGCCAAATACAATACGTAAATCGGTCACCTTAGGACATAATATCTCTACGACGTCCAGCGATCCGATTCGAGCGAAAATACTACCAATCGATTTGTCTAATCTAGGCTAATCAAATGGTCACTGGATGTCGAGATATTACTCCTAAATTAGTTGATCAACTTTTGTTATTCAAAAAAAAAATGAATTGGTTACTTTAAGACGCAATCCGATTTGAACAAAAATACTACCATTCGATTCGTCAGATAGTAGTAATACATGTATATACATTTATGCCCAGAAAATTTGGGTGATCAATTTTGTTCACGTGAATATAAATTTGAGTAAAACAAAGAACTCTGTCTACTAGATTACATGTTAACTCCAGCCGATGACATACAAACTAAAACTTTTGCATTACCATTAAAACTAGAAACTATATGAACCCACAGGCAACCATTACAGAAGTCGTGCAGTTCGATTAGAAGTAAACCTAAAATTATTTTGGTTTTACTTATTTTGACATAGGTTTTTATTGAAGCTGTTTGTGATTCATCTTTATTGAACACACGAAATTTGACTATTTTCGCATTGCGCGTCTTTTTTTAACAACAAAGTTTACATTGCTCACGATTTAATTTAAGAATCCTCGAAATATTTCGTGCGGAATATAGTCAAACGGTTTGTTAGAATATTTAAAGTCTGCTTTTTTATTATGATGATGATGAGCCTAAGTAAAATTTGCTTTTGAATTTTCTTTTGTTTTATTTTTAAAAATATTGGTTTTCTTTTCTGATTAATAAAAAGTAAAAAAATAAGACAAATAGAAATTCTGTTAATTCCTATGGTTAATATTAAAATTGAGTACGAGAATACGATTTCTCTCAAATTAAACCATGAAATATCCCATTATAAAAACATTATCATTTGTATAAATTAAATAACATTGGCAGACGTAATCATAAGCAAACTCAACGTTGTTATAAAATTTTGCAATTAAAAATTTTCTTTGGATTAAATCTAATGTAATGTTATCGTTATGTCGATATTTATTCAATTCTGGTTATGAATCGAATTCTTGAATTTATCGGCAATAAATTTCCGCATTATTTAACGTGAAGTGCATTTAAATTATCCATCGATAATTTTTTTATTAACCGATATGAAGTATAATAATTCAACATATTAATACAGAAGTAAATGGTAAAAAGAAATATTCTAGAAAAATTAAAGAACTTTACATTATCGAAGGGCGCGTATAAAAAGCAACGTGATTTACCTTTTCTATATATCTAATTAGCGTTAATATTTGCTCCAAAATTTCAAATAAAAAGTTCTAAAGTTGTAGAACGATACTGAAACTAGAGTTCACAAGTATCCGTTTCATCCACTTCTGTTGCAGTTGTTGAGGCAGAAACAGTAACAGTGGACGGTGGTGGTGGTGACATTGTCACAGTATTAGTTTGTCCAGGCTGAGTGACAATTGAAATCGGTGGTGGTGGTGGTGAAATTGTCACAGTATTAGTTTGTCCAGGCTGAATGACAATTGAAGTCGGTGGTGGTGGTGGTGAAATTGTCACAGTATTAGTTTGTCCAGGCTGAGTGACAATTGAAGTCGGTAAAGTTTGAATAATAACTGTTGATAAATTAGTTACTACTGTAGTCGGACTTGTTGCTACCGTAGTTGGACTTGTTACTACCGTAGTTGGACTTGTTACTACCGTAGTTGGACTTGTTACTGTAGTTGGACTTGTTACTATAGTAATCGGACTTGTTACTGTAGTTGGACTTGTTACTATAGTAATCGGACTTGTTACTGTAGTTGGACTTGTTACTATAGTAATCGGACTTGTTACTGTAGTAGTTGGACTTGTTACTATAGTAGTCGGACTTGTTACTACCGTAGTCGGACTTGTCACTATCGTAGTTGGTTGAGTAATAATTGTAGTGAATGTAATTGTATTTACATTCGTCGTAGTTTGAGTCGATAAGGTTGTAGTTGTCAAGGTTGTAGTTGTCGTTGGATTGGTGATTGTAGTTACAATAATAGTTGGGATTACCGTAGTGGTAGTTTGGGTAGTAACTGTCGTAAATGACGACGTAACCAGAGTATTTGTCGTGATGGTGGTCAGAGTTTGAGTAGTTGTAGTCTGAGTTGATGTTGTCTGAGTGGTTGTAGTCTGAGTTGATGTTGTTTGAGTGGTTGTAGTTGACGTTACTGTAGTTGGTTGAGTGGTTGTAGTCTGAGTTGATGTTGTTTGAGTGGTTGTAGTTGATGTTACTGTAGTTGGTTGAGTGGTTGTTTGAGTGGTTATAGTTGACGTAATTATAGTTGGTTGAGTGATAATGGTCGTGGTAATAGTCGTAAGTGTAATCGGTTGAGTAATAACTGTGCTGGTCGTAATTGTATTTACAGTCGTTGTAGTTTGAGTTGTTAGGGTTGTAGTTGTTAGGGTTGTAGTTGTCGTTGGACTAGTGATTACAATTATAGTACTAGTTGGAATTACTGTAGTGAGGGTTTGGGTAGTGAGTGTCGTAAATAACGACGTGACCAGAGTAGTTGTAGTTGTCGTGTATGTGATTGGTTGAGTGATAGTAGTAGTAGTAGTAGTTGACGTTGAAGTAGTAGTTGACGTTGATGTAGTAGTTGTAGTCTGAGTTGACGTTTGAGTGGTTGAAGTGGTTGTGGTAGTGATAGTTGGTGAAACACTTAAGCTTACAACCGTTTCTGTTGTTGTTGTTGTTGTTGGTTTAGTTACAGTCGTTGTTGTTGTACACGTGACAGTTACTGTGTCGTGAATAACACCACCACCATAACTTCCTTCGCTAGTATTATTACCTTTACTCCCACCATCACTAGTATTACCTCCCTTAGTATTTTTACCTCCCTTACTCTCACCATCACTAGTATTACCTCCCTCACTAGTATTACCTCCCTCACTACCACTAACATGACCTTCCTGACTACTACCCTGAGCAGAAGGAGCCGGAGTCTGAGCAGCAGGAGATGGAGATGAAGCTGGGGTCTGAGCAGCAGGAGCTGGAGATGGATCTGAAGATTTGGAAGAAGCTGGAGTTTGAGCAGCAGGAGCCGGAGTCTGAGCAGCCGGAGTCTGAGCAGCAGGAGTCTGAGCAGCAGGAGCCGGAGATGGATCAGAAGATTTGGAAGAAGCTGGAGTCTGAGCAGCAGGAGCCGGAGTCTGAGCAGCAGGAGCCGGAGATGAAGCCGAAGGGTTGGAAGTTGAAGCAATAATTCCTTCTGCTCCAACTAATAAAACAGCCAAGAAAATGACTGATAATAAGAAAAAATCGTAAAGTTGTTTTAATTTCATTTTTGATTATTTATTACTGATTGATTCGTTTCGTCAAAATTGATTTTTTTAATAATTAAATAGTAAATGATGCTTTTAAGAGAATACGTCGATGTATTTTTTAGTCATTCCCTGCGAGTGTTTCTTTTCGCAGTAATTATTGTTTTTTATTGTTGTTTATTATTAAAGTAAATATTTCTAGTTTTGTTCATTTAATTATAAAGATAAATAATTCAGTTTGCGGATTTTTTTAGTTCCTTCTTTTCTCTTGGTGAAAAAATCGTAGACTTCGTGCAAACTAAAACATTAAACAAAATACGAGAACAATATCTTGAATAAATGTTCACAGTAAGAAAAAAGAGAAAGAGTCAAGATAACCCCAACACTGCTGCAATTAAATTATAATTAGAAACATTTTTATTCAAAAATAACACACAAGACGTAAGAAATATAACAAGGATAAACAAAATTTTGTGTATTTCTATTTGGAATAATTGTATGTACAGCATTGCATCATTGATTATCATACCAATGAGTTATGTACGTGTATTGCGGAAAAACTATGTTGTTTCCCTTTGTTCCTCCTCGTGTTTATACATGTATTAAGCTTCAGTGAATGACCATATTTACACCTCTCCTTCGTAACTTTGATTAAAGTACAAACTGCGTATACTAAGAGATTACGACATTACATTACAATGTTTGTGGTCATCTTCATAGATGCACGTACACAATTGTATGGGAATTGTCGTAACTTTTCACTGATATTTTGATCCTTTTATTGAGTTTAATAACGGGTTTTGTTTTATTTGATCCTTTCATTGGTCTTTAATAATGGGTGACAAACAGCGGAAGGAGGGCATGCATGCTTGTTATTGTTTTCGTTTACAGATGTAGGTTAGCTCGGGAATCCACATTTGAAACATCAAGATTTTAAATTTTACACTTCCTTTACATGGATGGAGACTACGGTATGGCGGATTAATGTCTAAAATTATCTATAATAATTTCGTTCGATATAGATTTACTGATAAACTAATAAATTTTTTGATACACTAATGTATTCCTTGCACCATGCAATTTAAGCCGGGATTTTGAATAAAGTTTTATGCGCTTTGTCATTTACCGTAAAACGTTGCCCAGAATTAAATCTTAATTTAATTAAAAATTGCACCGTTTTATTTATTTGGAAAGAACAAATTTGGTTTACTAAAAATTTATTTGGAAAGAAAAAATTTGTTTTACTAAAAACTCGGAAGCATTATTCGTTGAACAAACATCTTATCTAATTCCTTATCACAACATGAATTTGAAATCCGGAACATTCTTACATGTACGTAGTCATTTTCTATACATGTATTATTTTTTTACACAATATATGGATGAGAATAAGTACATGTACATATTCTTTACACAAATTAAGGATGACAATAAGTACATGTACATATTCTTTACACAAATTAAGGATGATAATAAGTACGTATTCTTTACGCAAATTAAAAATCTAACCGAATAAGGATTATCGCGAATTAAAAATTCAATGCATAAACCTGTTAAAGTATACAAGATATGCAAGAGTATTTCCATTGTTAAAATTTAGTAGATCGAGATATTAGGACGCCCATTTATTTCTAGATACATTTCTGTGTGACAAATTAAAAATACAAAGCCCTTCTTCCATCTTTAGTCTAGTCGCATTGTCATGATTAAAGACTCCCTATTTTGGTAATTTGGGATTTACGTGTTTGTTTTAGGTTGTTATGTGTAAATGGTTTATCGTTATTATGATGGTCGATAAGGAAATCGCAGTTTCATTTAGGACCCGTTTCACCGATAATCGTATTGAGTCAATGAAGATGCATAATCAATTGTGTCTTTCTTTTTTTGTTTCTTTGAAACGGTGAAACAAGTTCCATAGGGACACAATAAAAGAAGGGTCAAAAATATAAGTTATCACTAACCACCAGTCACTGTGAAATGTGACAAAATGTGTCTAAAAATAAAACTTACATTCACATCTATTAGTGAATCAATGTTTAGTATATGAAGGGTAAAAATACAACATATGTACTTCGTAATTCAGTTACATTGCTAAGCCAACTATTGACTGTTCCTGTTATATAACCGGATATATCCAGAACACGGATTTAGAACTATTGTACATGTATCGGTATATCCGAGTTCTTATATATAGGAATATATATATATATGTCACTTTACATTTCAAAGGTTAATCTATAAAAGGAGAAAACTTGAAATTAAATTCCAAAAAGCAGAAGTCGTGGCTGTTAGCCAAGAATAATTGTAGATCAATCCATTAATAGAATGACTTCTAAAATAACAGCAGCATGCGATTCAAGAATCAGCACTTGATTTCTATTATTTTTTTAGTTTTCAAATCAGAAACATCCTTTGGAAAGAATTTCTTTTAAACTTATGCAATTTAGACTCTACCGCTACATGAATTAGTTTATCGTTCATACGAGTGATTAATAAAAATTTTCCTTTCATTTCAATCTTTCTGTAAACAGACAAATTAACTAGTGGATAATTAATGAACGATAATGATTATGATAAATAATAGTAACCAAAAAATTAAACATTTTTCCCTTCGATTATCTTGCATCGACAATTTGAACAATAATCAATCGAGACAAACAATTGCAAAAAGTTTTACACTTAGTTTAAAAAGAATGAAATGTATAAATTTTGGTTCTTTTTTTGAATTTTTATAAAAAAATTCAATTATCGCATCAACAGCCACTTCATTTACTTTACAGCTACGAATACAATGCAACTTCTACAGCTAGAAGCATATATCTAACTATACAAAATGTATCTATTTACCAAGTTACGACTTTTCTTGTATCAATGTCAACTACAACCGGAATAATATTTATTCAGATAAAAATGCTAATTACTCGTGTGTTCCAACAACACTACGTACTTGCAACCTACAAGCAAAATATTTCACTAAAATAAATTATTAATAATTCATCTGTACCTAATCAAAACAATAAAACAGCTCTATAATTCTAAATCCAACCACAACTATCGCGAGTTTAGAAAATGAAACAATAACCGCTACATTTGCAACTACAACTAAAACTATAACTACTACCACATTGACCCCTGTATACTTTGCTTCACCCTCGGCATCCATTCCAACAGTAATTAAATCTTTAATGTCAACAATACAGTTCTGGCGGAAAGTAATAGCGGAACAATTTTATCATATAGTAAGCCTCTTTTCAAAAATATGAATTTCTCCCAAAATGGATCTCTGGCATTTGAGAGCTGTAAAAGCATGTCACGATCTGGCAGAACTTTGATGATCGCAACACAAAGTTGATCAATCATTAACGTTAAGAAATTGGACTAAAGTAAAAATTGTGGAAAAAATCGAAATAATATTTTTGGCATGTTAACATGGAAGGAGAATATATTTTTTAAGAACATAAGACCCTACTTAGAGGCATTTAAAAAATAAAATTTTTTGTAAAACCAAACGTCGCCGGAACTGTAGTGCTATAACTGACTAACTCCAGTTATAGTATCACTATGACAAAATTTACAACTGCTCCAACTGTTACTGTTACGGGTATATTTTATGCATTTAACTATTATAATGACCTAATATACACTGACCTATGATAAATCACCGTGCATTATTAGCAAAATTTCTGATTCTAAAAATTACCCAGTTTCTTTTTATTTAAACTAAATAACGATATTTAAAAAATATATAATAGAAAGAGAAAAAGTTATAAAATAATATTTGTCTAAAAATAATGTGTATGTGATCCTTTAGCTTTAATAGCAGCTGCAACTCGTCGCGGCATACTGGAAATTAAATTTCATGCAACATTCAATGGCACTTTTGCCGTTCTTCCTTTAATACCTCAATTAAATCCTTTTTGGAGGTCGAAAGAGGTTCCTTTTTCTAATTTGATAATCTAAATGATCCCATATATGCTCAAGTGAGTCTTTGGGCAGCCCATTCTAAAACCGGCATACTGTGTGTTTGCATCCACTAACGACTATAATGCGAAGATGACAGGAAGCATCATCTTGCTGAAAAGTTGTATAAGAATGATCACTCATCCAAGGAACCAAATATTTGGAAAGAATATTAACATAACTGTCAGAATCGAGGTTGTTATTAACCTCTACCAAAGATCCAACTCCATTCTATCCAACACATTATCGATATTCCATCAAATTTACACAACTTTCTAGGTTTATTTTTGCCATCCTCTTGTATGTCCGTCTGAATGGAAAAGGGAAAATAGTGATTCATCTGATCATACGATTCGATGTCATTCATTATTCCGGCTTTTCTTTTTTTTTTGCACCATTGTAAACGATTTATTTTTATAAAGGTTCATGACTTGCATAGTGAGATTCAAAAGATAATAGTTCATGTAATTACGAGTGATATTAGAGTGGATTGAAGTATTAATATAAGTATTTAGTTGATTGGTACATATTGCACAAAAATAAAAATATGTATATTATTATCCTTTATCATTTCCAAAAGAATTAATTGGTATCTATTATAAATCTAATCTTTCAGAAAAAACTTGTTTTAATTATTTTTAGAATATTGAAAATATTGAAAATTCCAATACTGGAACTGTTCATATACAAATAATAAAAATTATTAATATAAGTGGCTAAATTATCTTTTTAAAGTTGAAATTAGTAAAATTTTTGAATAATTTTCCAGTAAATATTATGCATGATCTTTTTAAAAATATTTGGTACTAGATTAGCATATTGTTTAAATTAGATAATAATTTCAATATTATTGTATAACGAATATTTTATATTAAAATATTATTAAACAATTACATTATATAAATTTATTAAATTATAAAATATTTTATATTTTATTGTAAGAATCTAAATAAGCAAGTAAATAAATAAGTAAATAAATAAGCAAACAAATGAGCAAATAAATAAGCTAATATTAGACCAATAGAAATATAAATAATTATTGAAAATTAATTTATATATTAGTTATATTATTGTTGTTATTAAAATTAAAATTAAAAATAAGTATTTGATAATAATAAGTTTTAATTATCTTATAATTAATTATTATTTATATTAATTATTTAAAGAAATAAAATTTGTACTTATTAAATTTAATATAATATTTAATTTTCTTTGTTATATTCTATTTAAATTTGTAATATTAGTTAAATATATTTGATATAAATATTGTTAAATTATTTTATTAATTATAAAATTATTTAATATATATTTGTGATAAAATCTTATAAAATATATTTTTAATAAAGAAATTATTATTATAATTTATAAAGTTATTGCTATAGTTATTTTAAATGAAGAGTTTCTTCACTATTAGTAAAAGAGTCATATGAATTAGGAGAGAGAAATAGACTAATAAAATTGATCAGTGCAAAAATAAGTATCTAAGTCTATACCAATTTTGACAGAAATTGTTAAACAATTCTATTAAAAATGAAAAGAGGAATTGAAAAAATGTGTTCAAAGAGGTGATTGATTAATAGGAATTACTAACTAAATAAAGAGATATTGATATTTATATATTTGTAGTCATACATTCTAGTACTTTCAAATAAATAACTAAAGGAATTATTACTTATTTAGAGTTATAGTATATAATTATATAAATCAATATTACTTATTTAAGTTGCAGTGTACAACTATACAAATTAATATCACTTATTTAAAGTTACAATGTACAACTATTGTTACTATAGTAATATAAATTTCTCTAATTTGATAATCTTTTTTTGATTATACGAAATTCTCTTTTTCTTAATTTTTATAATTTATTATCTGTTATTATTATTTTTATCCAATCGTATAATTATCTCACTTTTATTTTATTATCCTAAATCTTATATTTATATCCTAAA